TAAGACTTGCGTGCTTCAAAACGTACACTATTTGAATTGGCATGTTTAAAAACCGCAGGGGAACATGAAGTATGAAATAATGTCAAGGAAAACGAAAAGATGGCACACAACGTTGACGACAGCCGAGTTCCACAACTGGATGCAGGTTTGAGTTATTACAACCAAACACAAACCAACACAACTCAACACACAACCCAAAACAACCCAACACAAATTCAACACAACTCAACACGACCCAACCCAACCCAAAAGGACACAACACAACTCAACACAAACCAAACACAACCCAACACAACCCAACACAACCCAACCCAACACAAGTCAACTCCACCCAACCAAACACAACTCAACACGACTTAACTGAACTCAACACAACTCAACAAAACTCAACCAAACCCACAACTAAACCAAACACAACTCAACACGAACTCAACCCAAGCCAACTCAACGAACCCCACAACACAACTCAACCCAACACAGCTACAACAGCAACTCCGACTAGCAACGGTTGGCCACGCATGGTCGAGAAAGGAGTTCAACATACACACGTACGTGACTTCACGCTGCCGGAAAGAGTCATCGCGATGCGCAGTCAGGGTGCAAGCCCATCACGCAATATTATCATCAAGTTGTACTTTTGCGTTCTTAAGTTTTGACTTAAAACTTTCGCGACTGCAAGGAACTGAAATTATTGGTTCTTTCATTAAAGTCACGTAGATAGAAAATAAAAATAGTAAAATTCAATTAAAAATGAACAATAAAAATAAGTTGAAAATAATAAACGCAAAAAACCCACGACGTTTCGATCGCAACACAAGCGGTCTTCATCCGCTATATTAACTACCATTCACCCCTCCTTCCACGGGGGCCGGTCACTGTGTACGTACGCACGTTAAACCTCTTTCGCCCCGCACATAGCCTAACCGTGCTCACCGGAGGTGTGCGGTTGTTTTCAAACCAGCGCTCCGGCCAAGGCTGTCAGCAGCAAAAGTCACTGCGGCTGCTGCGGATTTCCGCGGCCTCTGCTCTGTGCTACGAGCGACTGAAGGGACGAGGCTTTCCTGAGAATAATTCGGCGTTACAGACTGCGTTTGCAAAGACAGGAAAGCAAAACAACGGCTCGCGCTCAACGCGTTCACACTCATGGAGCCCTGGGGTTCGTCAGGGTGTGGGGAAAATCTTATTTATAGATAATAATAATAATGTACGTGTAAGTTACTTGGGTTGTTTTCAAACAATAAAATCAACTTGTAACGCCCACACTCTCGTTGAGAAAGAACGACTCTGAGGTGCGAGGAGAAACCGCTGACAAGCGGGAAGGCAGCGGCCGCGCGATGAGCCAGCGCCAACAAATTGCCCAAGCTCTGCGCTCCTCTGCATATTGAAGGCGCCGTCGGCCAATCAGCGCTCGAGTCAGTGCAGGCGAACGGTTTCGCCTCTTTTCACGCTCGTCAACAGCGTTGCAAGAGGTAGAAGTAACCGACGCTTTAGCCCAGCAAAAGCCGACGCCAAGGGGTCGGAATCAGAACGTCTCGACTGGAGAAATCCGATGAGCTGTGAAGCTCTTTTTCACAGATGTCCACACGATGGGCTTACCGAACCGATCGCCCTTCGCGCGGAGGAAACCACCGTGAAGCGCGGACGGGTGAGCGCGCCAGCAAATTGCCCAAGCTCTGCGCTCCTCTGCATATTGAAGGCGCCGTCGGCCAATCAGCTGCTCGAGCGACTGAAGGGATAGGCACGGCTTTGGGAGTCCAGCGAACGAGCCAGCGCCTGCGCCACGCCACGGCGTTTTTTGCGTACGACGGGAAGAGCTTAGTTTTGAATCGGATTTAAATCGCTAGTTTTTTTACACCATTGGAAACCTCACTTGCCAGTAACAAAATATGATAATTGTTTTTTTTACCCTTTTATCTGGCAACAAAACTGACACCTTTTTTTTACAAGGAGTCATGTTTACATTGACCACAATACCTGCGGTCGGAACGCAAACAAAAAAAACAACTCTTGATAATGTGCGCCTTTTGGTGTCTTCTGGTCCAACACCATGTGAGACGAGGCTCTAAAGAAAGCTGTCTCGGGTGTGGACCAATCAATTTCAAGGACAGTGCATACATTATCAGAGTTTTTTTTTTGTGTGCGTTCCGACCGCAGGTATTGTGGTCAATGTAAACATGACTCCTTGTAAAAAAAGGTGTCAGTTTTGTTGCCAGATAAAAGGGTAAAAAAACAATTATCGCTAGTTTTGTTACAGAATGCATTAAAAAAAACATTGTTGCTGTTGCTCGATTTGAACATCTTAAATCGCATATTCTTGGATCTTTCGGTAAAGTCACGTAGAAGGGAAACAATAAAATATTTTATTGTTTAATGAATAAAATATTTTATTGTTTCCCTTTCTACGTGACTTGACTGAAATAAAATATTTTATTGTTTCCCTTCTACGTGACTTTACCGAAAGAACCAAGAATATGAATCCCTGCAGTCACGAAAGCTTTAAATCAAAAATCTTAAATCGCATTTACCTGCGAGTTCCATTTTGGAAGGAATTACACTGATTGTTGCTTTTGGACCCGAAGTCGTAATTGCTGCAGTCGGTTACTCATAAATTAATTATTTTAAAATTAATAAATAACATGTATGAATTGGAGGAGAACTGTGTTGCTGTGCGGATTAATCATGTAGGTGTGAGTTCACCGGAGGAGGCTGTTGATGAGAAGCGTTCATGCCAGGTGCACTATTATTCCAATGTGAAAGTATTCCTTCTCCAATCAAGCCAGTGCAATAGGAAAGCCAACTTATTTTTAGTTGTTATTATATCCAGGAGGGCCGGCAGCCCGCTGTTTTCCTTAAAATTCCCAACAGCTCAAAAGGATGACAGGCGTCGGTTTAAAAGCAGCACAAGCCTGGCTCTAATCCCTCGAACACCAGTGATGATAAGTTTGTACATTCGTTTGCCGCGCAATCTTCTTTCTGATTCCAGTTCACCGCGCTCGCGCACTTATGTACAACACACAGCAGTAAACGCTTCGGAATAACAACACCGAGTTCAGTCCATCGCGGAACCGCCTCAGACTCGAGGATGGATCCCCGGACATCTACCACCGGTGGTTACTGGTTCCCGGGTCTGTGGCGCAGAGACCTGGGTGGAACTGTGCCGGCCGTAGCGGCGCGCAAGGTTTGCGGGTACAGCAGCACCAGCAAGATCACCATGGGTTGCGGATTGTAGACCACGTATGTATGGGATGCAGCGGTGGCGAGATGTTAACTCCATCGCCTGGTATACAGGAGGTTATGGGTTCGAGACCCGACCCTGAAGCATGCATATGTGAAGTTTGCATGTTCTCCCCGTGGTCGTGTGGATTTTTCATCGAGTGCTCCGGTTTTTCCCTCTGCATTTAGAAACAACATGTGTGTAGAGCATTTGGCTGCTATGAATTTGCACGTGATACACCACTTCGTTGAGATATCATTTTTCGGCCAGGTCGCTTCTGATAAAAGAGCTGTATAGCTCAGCGGGCCTTACCTGGTGACATCAACAATAGTTGAGTTTTTTTAGTTTAGTGTGTACGTGCACATACAGCTCCTTTTGTAAATCCACAGCTGGAAGAAGGCCTCCCATGCCGTGTGTGTGTCGAGGGCCTCGCTTCACCACGCTGGCCGACCAGGCTTGGTGAAGGCAGGCAGCAGAGGCATCGGCGTATCGTACGGCACAACAATCTACTCCCTTTTCTGCTGACGACATAGCCTTGCGGTGTCCTACACCTGCGTGGTTTTTAACATTTATTTTTATTTGCAAGGTGGTCACCCGTCCAATGCATGCACCCTTTACGCTCACCCCTGCTTTGATGCTGAGATCTGGCAACGTGGGAGCCGCTCTGCCTTACGTGCATTACGCACATCTTTTATTCAGACCAAACGAGAGAGTAAAGGTCCTCCCCTCTTCATTTTCAAGGTGGGACCTTGGCAACGATGTCACTCAAGCGGCCTGAAATCGCGAGTGCCAAGTTGAAACAACGCGACCGAAAGGCATCTCGCATTTGTACCCACGTGAGAGGTGCAGTATGTACAACGCCTCGCCGATTTATATCGATGTGCAGACACGCCACCAGCAACGTTACCCAGCACCCCGAGTGGACAGTCAGAAATACAACTACCCAGCCCGCTACTGAAAACGTGAGAATTCATCTTTATTACGTCAAACTGTTCACCCATTAAAAATGTCTAACTTTAAATAAATAAATCAACAGACGTGTCGGATAAGCACTATATTAAAAAGATCACACCACCAGCACATTCTGATAATCGTCACAACGCAAATTAAGATTTGACGTAAGGATCTTGATTAAACAACTCGGGGCAGGACATTGTGATGCTGTGGAAGTTACAAACAAGAAAGCTTGCAATCGTTTGGGCATCGATCAGGAATAAACCCGGAAAGGGTGGTACACACATGGCAACGCACACCAGAGTCGAAGGGACAAGTGGTAGAGTGAAGAGCAAGCCTGTGCTGGATCGACACACCAAAGGAGGACATGGACACAGAAAGGCTTAGAGGTGAAGCATCTCGTCAAGAAGCATAAACCATCGCGCAAACTCCGGACATCCCTCACAGCAGCGGCTTTTGGCGAAGCATCGGAAAAAGATGGTCACCGTACCGCGCTCTTTCAGATGCGCTTCTGCGGCCGTCTGGAACGCTCTTTCTTCCGATATTAGGAAGCCACTGGCGTTTATACACTTTTAAATCATAATTGAAAATTCATTTCTTTAGAACTGCTTCTTGTGTTTAGTTTTTCGTCCTTCCCCCCGCACCTCCGATTAGCGCGGTTAGCTACATACGGTGCGAAAGAAGTCTAACGTACATACATTCAAGAAAATTAGCACAGAACAGACACGAGTGGACTTGACTCCATTCGGCCTCATGGTCGCGGAAAGCTGACGGCAGAGAAGGGAAAGGGGCCCGCTTGTGAACGCTACGCACACACAGGCCTGGGCCCTACCTCCATGAGGAAGTCTCCGGTCTTGAGGCCGGCCTTGGCCGCCACGCCGCTGTCATCCACAGACTCCAGGTACTGCAGCGCGGGGAAGGCTGGCGTTGGGGTGAATTCTTCGATGGGTGTGTCCGCTACAGTCCAGCACGGGCAACAGCATCTCAGCTCACCAACATCGCTCGGAAAAGGCACGCATTTACATCGACGTCGTCCACGTTTATGAATAACTTGTTGACGTCACCGAGTATTTACCGTCGTTATTCGCGAGGGATACGTTCCGGAGACGCTCGTGAATAGCCAAGTTTTCGCGCATAACGATATTGGCCTAGGAAAATTGCCTTAAATAAATATGTAAATAATCATCATCACTTTATATCTCATTTTCTTTATCTCATTGCTTTCTCTCTTACACGTTGTAGGGTGTCAACAGGCATTCCTCTAGCTTGCGAAATGGAATTAAAATATAATAAAAACCCCTCTGTTATTGATTCCAAAGTAGGGTGACAGATCCTCCCGCAGAAGACTCGGTTAGTCTTCTCTGGGGAAGCAAAAATATATATTTTTTAACAAACTTGGGGTCATTGTCGTGTGACTACAGCGCAAATCTCTCAAAGCCAGACTCGAGTAAGCGAGTAAATTCACGGTAAGCCAGAGGGCTGGCCGAAATTGATAACTAAATATATGGGATTTACAAAAAGTAAACCAAAGTAACACCGTTCAGTGATGTGCAGGAATATGTGGCATGTGTTTGTGCACTTGCATTTATAAATAGATATCCCAATCTGTTGTACGGTATTCAGTGACTACTCGGTCATCAAACATATTCCACGAGTCGGCTGCGTCTCGTTGTTGCTAATAAATATAGAATGTGCTTTACTTAATTTATAAACAAAATCAAGTTTTCAAGATTGTCAGAAAAATTTCTTCAGCCTGCCATCCGCATCGACTGAAGCTCGGCCTTCACAGCAAAGCTTCATAACCACTGCAAGCGATTAAACTCTGCACTTGTGCATTTTTAGTGCAAATAAATTGTGAAATATTACATTACATTGAGTTGTTACGTTATTAGGTGTTAATTAAATGTCCCGTTGAATTATTTGCATGATGCTGGAAATCCACCTAACGCCTCCCCTTCCTCCACCCTTAGCTGTAAAACATCTCCTAAATGTAAAAAACCCAATACGTGTTGTTTGAAACCACACAAGCAACGTTTGTTACAATTCACATCAAAAAGCAATGGCAGTGAAGAGGCTAAACACGTCCTCAGGACTAAAAAGTACATTACGTAATCTTTTGGGTGCACTGTCGTTCAATTTCCATTCATTCAGGGTGTACCAATCGTCACAGCTATAGCTGGAAGCCCATTCATTTCCTCTTCAATTTCGCTGTGTTATACATACAGGACCGTACACGTATTTCAGCGGTGCACAGTCCAGCACATCAAGTTTAACCCCTGCTTAGGTAGGATAAAAATGGGATAATTTTCTAGCTGGATATAAATATTCGGTTTGGATGCTTTTTTTATTAGATAAACACAAAAAACACAGGATTTGAACAATTTCAGAATAGGTTTTACCCTTTCTGGAAATAAAAACTGGTGTTAAGATGTTAAAACGCCAAACAGAAACAGAAACCTTTTGCCAACGAATCGTGTCTACTGTAACGTACTTGTGGTGAACATGCAAATATGTTGATACTGGCAAGGGAGGTCCCATGATTTATACCATAGTTTGTCTTCGCATCGGGGCACAATTTTGTTTTTGTTTTACCAGCAATGCTTAAAAAGGAATTTGAAAATAATTTAAGCCGGCCACAATCGTTACCTTTTTTTAAACCTATTGCAACATTTTGCTAGATGCCAGACCATAGGACATTGAAGTTAAAATACAGCGGGACGACATAATTACAGGGTGCTTCAAAAAAATGTTAACACTTCAGACAATTTCCAAAAACACCACCACCACAAGAAATGTGCTGCTGCCTCCGGGGCTCTGGAGATCACCTGGAGAAGATTCCAGGCCACGTGTCGACAACGATGGCGAGCGAACAAGTGGGAGAACTCTTTGACTTATCGAAGCTATTAACATCACATTTGTTATCACGTTACAGTGTATCAACCGTTCTTTTTCACGTAAAAAACAACGATTGTCCCATACGAGTGTTGACATTTTTTTTCCGAAGCACCCTGCATATGACAGAATCTGTCACATCCTGTTCACGAACCCGCGTTGGAAGCGGCTGACCGGCCAAATGCTACAGCGATATCCGGGCGGCAATTGCCCCGACCTCGCGTGTAAAACAGCTTATGCACAACGACGTTCCATTTTTTACTCGGCCTCAACAGTTCACGACCACACTTTGTAACAAAGGCTGAGATTCTCACCGGCGAACGGACGCGTGGCAAAAGCAACGTTGACGTCACTATTGCTTCTCCCCATACCGGACATGTGTGCGAAAAGAGAGCTTTATAGCTCATCGGATTCCTCCGGGGTGGACACGAAGACGACTCCTGATTATGAAATCGTGCGGTAGAACGGACGGGCACGTTGCAATGATTTGTCGACGCCAATATGTGAGCGTGGTAACACCTAAGGCACCGGACTGCAAGGAATGACGATGATGACGATGCCTTCCTTCATTTGCATTCGTGTCTTACGCAACGGGTTAAAAAAAAATTGCAGCCGACTCTGGACTGGCTAAGGGTTAAAATATTTCAGGAACGCGGTACACCACGTCGAGTATTGCATCTCACCGCCGTGGCCTGCTTGGGTCTCCCGGAGAGCCGGGTAAAAAAATAAAACAGCTGAATATTGGTCGACAGATCAAATTGAACCCCAACGTGTAAAGCTACAAACACGTGCGATGTATACGCCGTGTTAGCGTTATGCAATCTGCACACGGCAAGTACAGAACTGTGTCTCTGCAAAGTACACACAATATGCGTAAACTACAACATTCTGTAGATGCGGTTATAAGCATATACTGTATGTATACCGAGTACTGTATTGTCGGTACAGGATGCACGTCTTGTTTACAAGGGGTAATAATGTACTGTGCACAATTCACACACACACACGCGCGTATGTTAAACTTCTTTCCCACCGTACGGAGCCTTACCGTGCTAAGGCGGAGGTGAAATTAATGCGTTCACACCACGTACCCAGCAAAGCAACGCCAACGTCGAGCCGACGTTCCACGTTCACTGGCTATGTTCTACACACATATACACAGGGTGTGTGTATATGTGTGTATATATAAAACACATATACTGCATTGCAGTACCTAATTGATAAAAAAAAAAAAACCTCTCGTCTGGCAAATGTAATGCAGGTGACATTGCGCCTGTGTGCCAGTCAGAACGGTGTCGTTCCACAGCAAGCAGAAGCAGCAGCTAGACGAACGCGTGGATTTGTTATTCATTCAAACGATGATCTTCAAGGCACGTTGGTTAAACGTCGTTTTACGAAGCATCCCTTTACCCCCCCCACCCAAAAACCACCACTCCTCCTCCTCCTCCACCTGGGTTACGGTCCCGCCTGCCGGCTTTCCCCCCAGCTCTCCCGGTGCACGCCCGCAGGAATTCGCGACGCTTGACGCACGACAAACTTGTGCCCGAGCAGCTCGCTAGGCTCACCGATTAACATTCAAGAGGCGGCGGCCGGAGGGGTTTGAATGACGGCGTGGTGTCGGTGAGCCAAGAAGCCCCATCATCATACGCCACGCGTGTCGCGCCGGCCTTCATAGGTTGGTGCTCGCTAACAGCACTTGCCCACCAGAAGTCTTAAGTCTATACTGCCGGGGGCCGGGGGGGGGGGGGCGGAGGGAGAATCGCTGTCTTTGTATGATGATGACTGCCCCCGCGTGCGTGACGACTTATGCGGCGCTGATTCACATGAAGATCTCCGCGCGTGCGTGTCTCGTTGTGTGTTCCACCTGAGCGTTGGTTGCGATTATGATCCGAGACCACGCGTGCGTGGCGAGTTTGGCTGCTCCATCTGAGTAGTGAGTTGGGGGGGGGGGTTGGTAGTGTAGCGGCTAGCGCGCTACGCTCACCGCCAGTGCACAGCGAAAATTAATGATCTGGACCGGTCCCGAGCCTCCCCCGAGGTCGACTCAGCCTCAAATGAGTAAACGGTGCGGTGTGTGCAACACAAACATAGCCACTAGGGAGACAAAGGTGCTCCCCCTCCACCAACCCAATCTCGTTTGCCATTGATGGCCTTTATCATAGGTGCTGCTGCTGCTGCTGTTCGCTCACAGCGCTTTGTCCTCCCACCGGCAGTGTTCGCTATGGCTATCCGGCGAGGGAGGGACGGGTGGGTGGGAAATCTTTGTCGTCGTCGTCGTCGTCCCAGCAGAGCGCTGATTACGTTCAAGATAACACCAAAAAAGAGATATCTCTCGCACACGTGTGGACTCTCTCTCTGTGTCTGTGACTGGCGTGACCACGAGTGTGCACGCAGCGTGACACGCGAGATGGGGGGGGGGGGCAGGCGGTGTGCTGTGTGCGGGAAGCGCTGAGTTTGAATCGTCGACGTGGGGGGGGGGGGCTCCATTCGCGTCACGTGCTGGTCATGGAGCGATTGTTTAGCAATCCTCGCGCGTGCGTTAACCACGGGATTTGGGGCGGCGTATTTTGAGCCGTGCTCGAAGAACGACGTTTTCCGACAATGGGCGGAGGTGGATCGAGCGTGCCGTGGTTTCTTGCCGTGGATCCCGGACTTTCAATTGGCACCGCACGTGTTGGCCCGCCCGTGCTAATCGGAGGTGCGCTTTGGAGAGCCACCACCCCCACCCCCCAACTCCCCCCCAACTCTGCCCACACACCCCACCCAGCCAGCCACCCACCCCCCAGGTGCGTACCTGGTGACAAGGTGGGGATGGGGTGGGTGTGGAGCGATTGCTCAAGCAGGGTGAGAACGCAGAGGGGTGGGGAGACGGAGGGGAGGTGGGAGGAAGGGTTTAGGAGGGGACGGGTTAGGGAAATGCGAACGAAGCGGGCAGGGAGGAGGAGGGGGGGTTGGAGGGGTGTGTGGGGAGGGGTGTGTGGGGAGGGGGGGTCGCCCACCTTTAGCACCGCGCAGTACGAAGCCGAAGCCTTCGTTGTCCCGCTTGCACAGCACCACGCTCTTCTCCTCCACCACGTAGTCGCTGCGGGTGGAAGCCCAGAGGCAGCCGCGTTTAAAGCGCATGATCATGGCGACGGACGACCGACGAACGCGCGGCGCTCGACCCCCCCCTCCTCCTCCTCCTCCTCGGAGGGCCGACGCGAGGATCGCGCCCCGCTCCTCCTCCTCCACCTCCTCCTCCTCCTCTTCGTGGCGGTGCCGCTGCCCCGGCCGCGGATGAGTGGCGGAGGCTGCGGTGCCCGCCGCTGCCTCCGTCACTGCCGGCGGGGGTAGCAGAGGCCTGCAGAGAAGCTAGCAACTTGGCAGCGTCCGGCAGGACGGAGCAGGCGATCATGGCGTTACGGAGGAGAAAATAAAAAAATGGGGGGGGGGGGGGGGCAGGAGGAGGAGGAGGAGGCCTCTCTCTTCTTTTGCGCGGCTGTCGCTCGGTCGAACGCGGTTGCGGCTCTCCCTCTCCCTCCCTCCCTCTCTCTCTCTCGTGTGTGAGAAGCGGTGATCGTGCAAGCGGGAGCCGAGCGGGAGAACGAAGCTGGGACACACGCACACACACACACGCGCGCGCCACACACACGCGCGCGCCACACACACGCGCGCGCCACACACACGCGCGCACCGCACCGCACGCACGCGCCAGCGCGCACGCACACGCGAGGAGGCGCGCGCGCGCGCACTGCACGCGGGGGGACGGAGTGGGGAGGAAGGTGGCGGAATGGGGGGGGGGCAACGGAGGGCCGGTCGAGGGTGTGTTGGTGGTGGTGGGGGGACTATAGAGGGACAAGACGGAGCGACGGACGCGCAGAACTGGAATAGAGGCGGCGAGACAGGCGGCGGAGGCGAGGCGCGGCGCACGGAATGTGAAAACGCTGCGCGGTGGAGCTGGTGATGGTGGGGTGGGGGTGGTGGTGGTGGTGATGATGGTGGGGGTGGTGGTGATGATGGTGGGGTCGTGGTGGTGGGGTGGTGATGGTGGTGGTTATGGTGGTAGGGTTGGTGGTGGTAATGGTGTGATGGTGATGATGGTAGGGTTGGTGGTAATGGTATGATGGTGATGATGGTAGGGTTGGTGGTGGTGGTAATGGTGTGATGGTGATGATGGTAGGGTTGGTGGTAATGGTGTGATGGTGATGATGGTAGGGTTGGTGGTGGTGGTAATGGTGGGGTGGTGATGATGGTGGTGTGATGGTGGTAATGGTGATGATGGTGTGATGGTGGTAATGGTGTGATGGTGATGATGGTGATGGTGTGATGACGGTAATGGTGTGATGGTGGTAGTAATGGTGGTGATGGTGATGATGTTGGTGGTGATGGTGGTGTGATGGTGATGATGGTGGTGATAGTGTGATGGTGGTAATGGTGATGATGGTGTGATGGTGGTGATGGTGTGATGATGGTGTGATGGTGATGGTGTGATGGCGGTAATGATGTGATGATGATGGTGGTGGTGATGGTGGTGGTTATGGTGATGATGGTGGTGGTGATGGTGTGATGATGGTGATGATGATGGTGGTGATGGTGATGATGGTGGTGGTGGTGATGGTGGTGGTGGTGATGATGGTGGTGGTGATGGTGTGATGGTGGTGATGGTGATGATGATGGTGATGATGGTGATGATGGTGGTGGTGTGATGGTGGTAATGGTGATGATGGTGTGATGGTGGTAATGGTGTGATGGTGATGATGGTGTGATGGCGGTAATGGTGTGATGGTGATGATGGTGGTGATGGTGTGATGGTGGTGATGGTGGTGATGATGGTGGTGGTGATAGTGTGATGATGGCGATGATGGTGGTGGTGATGATGATGGTGATGATGGTGGTGATGGTGTGATGATGATGATGGTGATGATGGTGTGATGGTGATAATGATGGTGATGATTGTGGTGGTGATGGTGGTGATGTTGGTGGTGATGGTGGTGATGATGGTGTGATGGTGATGATGATGGTGGTGATGATGGTGTGATGGTGGTGATGATGATGGTGATGATGGTGATGATGATGGTGATGATGATGGTGTGCGCGCCGCCGTGTGGGGTGTGCGGGAGCAGCAGCAGCAGCAGCAACAGACGAAGCGAGACGCGCTGCTGCTGCTGCTATCTCATATGCGGCACTTTCACGGCCCCGGTCATTATTCTACCCCCTTTGTCTTGCCGCTGCTGCCGCTGCTGCTGCTGCCACTGCGGCTGCAGCGGCGGCGGCGGGACAGCCGCTTACAACAAGACAACGCAAGAATAACTCAACGAGTGTCCGCCGGACCACCTCCCGCCACCCCCCTTCCAAACGCGACGACCCTGGCGGAATGTCCCGTCATTATTTCCATCTCCCTCCCCAAGTCGTCGTCGTCGTGATCATCATCATCGTCGTCGTGATCATCATCATCATCGTCGTCGTGATCATCATCATTGTCGTGATCATCGCGCCGGCTCACGCTGCCGCCGGAGCTGATAACGGGCGAGGAGGAGGAGGGGGGGGCTGATAGCAGCATCCATCGCTTTTCATTTGTATTCTCAGCCCATGCTTAATTTCTCTCACGTAGAGGCTGCTGCAATATCCACGGCGTGGCCTTTAGCAGTAGCGGCGGCGTGCGGCGGCAGCGTCGGTGGCTGCAGCGAGTTTCGCGGTCGGGCCCTGCAAGTAGCCGTGAGCAGCCAAGCCAGCGAGTGAGCTGCCTGGCTTGGCCGGGCACGGCTTTAGCAGTCGCAACGTGGGGGGGGTCCCCTCTGCAGGGGCTTGCCAAGAGCCCCCCCCCGCCCCGTCCACGTGCGATGGACGAGCGGGCGGAGGGGATGGGCAGGGAGTCTGAGGGCATCGTTTACATTATCGGGGCATCTCGAGAATTGAGCAGAGCGAATGTGGAATGAGATGAGCGGTGAACAATGGGTGGGGAGTGTTGCAACGTCGGTCACGTTGGTGCCTCATCCGTGACGTTCCGATGCTTTGACACCACCGCTCACCCTTTCATAAGTGCAACTTTGCAAGCAAGCGCGCGTGTGTGAAACGCAGCACGGAATGCCGGAGACTCCTGGATTGTAAAAAAAGAAAGACCCCGACATGGCCCGTGGTCGATGGTGGTTCAGCATCCATTGCGGCACACGCAGTTAGAGACATACAGTATACATCCGACGGTAGACTCTTGATTATTCGCTTGCGGTTTATTCGATTTGCGGATTAACCGCGCAACCTGAGATTTTGACATGAATTAATAACTCATGGATTATCCCTCGAGCCCGAATTAATGATCTAAAAAAAAACAGTTTTACATTAAATCACGACGTTTCGGAGGCAACACAAGCTTCCGTCTTCAGGTGGAAACTGTCAGTAATTTTGCTGTGACGGTTTCCAACTGAAGACGGAAGCTTGTGTTGCCTCCGAAACGTCGTGATTTAATTTAGTTTTCATTTATTTTACCTACGTGAATTTACCGAAAAAAAAACAAAAGAGTATGAATCCTTGCAGTCACGAAAGCTTCAAATATAGAATTAAGTTCTACATTGTTTTTCTTGAAAATGTGTATTACAAGTCACGTGCTTAAACCGAACAAATGGTGCTCCGGTTCATCCGAAATCCACGTGATCGCCTCTACAGTACAGCAGTTGCCATATCTTTACAAGAGTGGGGCGGAGTTTGATTGATTTATGATTGGCGTGGCTCGGCAATCATCCACTTAGTCGGCCGAGCCTTCTGAGCTCGCGAGAGATCGATTGGTCGAAGGTTGGTATTCAGCGGAATATGGGTATTGTTGGATTATCCGTGATGTTGAATTATCCCCGTTATTAGGTAATCGAGATTTTACCGTTTATGCATATCTCATCCTAGGGCGACGATGCGCCCACAGCAATCTCTTTTTAAAAAGGCAACATTTGACGGAGGCGCGTGTATTATTGATAGAAAAAAACAAACCCCCTAATAAACATGCTATTTACACAACTTAAGATGAGCTGGCCCTCGTTCATTCTGTCATGACATTTCAGCAAAACCACGTAAGAAGATCCCGGCAAGGCTGGAAGCAGCAGAAGAGCTCTTTAACCCCAACATTATATTGGGGAATAATGCAATCAAAGCAATGATGAAGAGCAACCACGTGGAATGCAATCGACGATTTGAGAACCGAGCGATGAAAATCGTCGACCTTTTCCCACGCCTTGCGATTTCGCCGATGCCTCCGGTTGGTTCGGTCGGCGACGTATGGTGCGAAAGAAGTTAAATGTACAGTACATACATAATAGAGGTGTTTTTGGGGTTAGATCGCGTAAATGTGTCGTTAAACCCGCCACCACCCGACACAGCCAATTTAGTAAGGTTTGTCACGTAATAAGAACGTGCCAATTCGTCACTAGTACAGCACGCCGGTTTGTCGGAGAGCAAAGCCACAACATTTACAATCTGAGTACGACGTTTCGCCAGTAATTACAACTAGCTTCATCAGGCGACAGCCAGATTTGTGGAAAAATCCTCTTTCATTTCTTAAATAGAGGCGTAGGTGTGGTGACGACACGCGTGTAGTGGTGAGCACGTTGCGCTATGAACCCTGGCGGTCCCGGTTCGATTCCCGCTCACGGCCAACCAGTCCTGGGCCTCGCCTAGATCGACTCAGCCTCAAATGGGTACCTAGTGCGGTGTGTAAACATCAGCGCCGGGGAGACAAAGGCGGCCGGGCGTGGTACTCTCCAGACCACCGCCCCCTTGTGCCATCCTGGCCCTTCCTCCCATAGGTGCTGCTCGCTACCAGCACTTGCCCCAACAGTCTATGAGAGTCTATGCGGGTGATCTTTGTATTTGCTCCGCTCTGCTGACTACAATCTCGCGATACGCGGCGGTGCAGTGCCTGGAAACCCAGACGCACTTTGTAAAATTAGATATATGCTGTACACAGTACAGTATATATATCTTTTTTTTAAAGTGATCACTAAATAAACTTTGACAACCAGTTTAAGCGCGCGCTACACATTAAACGGTGCACGCGTAAGAGACCCGTGTCAGAAGAGTCCATAAGATTTTACAGCTGGGGACATATATGCCTCGTGAATA